AAAAGTGGAGGTTCCGGAGTGACCATCCCAGTCTCCTGACCTCAACATCATTTATCCACTTTGGGGAGATCTGAAACATGCAGTTAATACTATAAAGCCAAAGAATTGACAGGACCTGGATGCTTTCTGTCAAGAAGAATGGGAAAACAAAGGGCCCTATTCACAATGATCACAAAAGACTGCAAGCAGCCATTGATACTAGAGAGGACAGTACACACTATTAGGAACTACAGTTATGCAGACATTAAAAATTAAAGAAATGTGTTTGGTCAGATCACTAATTAAGAAGAAATAGTCCACATCTTATAAGTTCTATAAGGGGTAAGTAAACTTAAGAGCATAACTGTGCATATGTCTTAAAGTGTTACTAAACCCCCAACAGTAAAATCAGTCTGTATATGCAGTAAAGCATGCTTGTTATACTCGCTGTGGAACCAAAGGGGTTGATTCTCTGCATTGTGTAAAAAGGCTGTTTGATCCTGACTTTTGTGATCCTCCCCTTCTACTATCCCCAATCCATCTACTGATATATCAGAGCTTTGGGGGCAAGCTACACATGCTCAGTTTAGTGTGTATTGCTAGAGAGGCTTTTTTTTTTCTTTTGGAGGGTGCATGTGATCAGCACAGGGCCAATCAGCACTGTCCAGACAGAGGGTCAGGGGTTATGCAATCCTATAGGACAGTCAGAGGAGAATAAAACTCCTACAAGCTTTAACATGTTCTTGGCTGGACACTGATAGAAGTCACAAGACTGCTCTAATTGCTGATGAGAAAAGGTATTTAGCATTTTATATTTATGAAAATAACTGCATTTCCGTGTTCTGTGTACTGTGGGAGACCAGATACAGTGAATGCAGGGTCCTGGGTTTAATAACACTTTAACTATCTACATTTCAGATCCCTTTTATTGACTTTAATTCCTACAAATCTCTAGGAATATATTGGTTTTAAGTACAGGAATACAGTTAGTACAATTTACCTGGGGTTCACATCATAGACACCAGTGTTTTTCTCCATTTTTAACTGGGATATATCCTGAAACTTCTGTTTCCTTTCTTGCAATGGGAGGACAACCTGGAAAAAGCTGTGAACGTTCCCACCCCCTCCTCTACAACATGGCGGCTGACAGTGCAACTGTCCTATCTCTTTAAATATAGAAACATGTAAGTAGAATTTCTTTACAGGTTCAACACTTTTTTGGCTATAACATGCTGGGAGGTTCAGGAGTGGCCACACATAATACTTAATTTTTGGAATGAGTGACCATACTGTATACCTGATTGTTGGAGGCATGAACCCCATAACGAGGTTGATCATTCATGCGAGTTCTCAGTAATTCCTTTTCACTTTTTTTTTAATCTCAAATGCTATTCCAGGCTTTTTAGCCTTTTTCCTACATGCACTCTTTCTAGTGTCAGCTGCACATCATTGCCCCAGATTGATTTACTGATGGTGACAGTGGTGTACCATACCTTTCTTAGGTGTGCTGGCATGGCTACTTGTAGTCTCAATCAGGAACACAGGAGTCAAGGTGAGAACACGTCAGCACAGTTGGGTGATAATAGTCACCCCATAATCAAGGACCTTCAAGACAGGATCACCAGTTTCTATTTTAATGACAGCTGCAGATTTAAAACATTGAAAACAACTTTTGATTTTTTTTTTATTAGAGGTTGAAGTATATATGAGATTTTATTGATTGGCTTTGGATATTATGGTTTGCTTTTGGTATACAGCAGAGATTTCACCCCAAAATGCTACCTGGCATTAAAGGCTAAGTTCACCTTTAAGGAAAAAATAATAAATGTACTATTTTTACAGAAAAAAAAAGTCCTTTTATTATTTTTCCCACGGGAGCCTGCGAAGCATTGCATCTGCAACCAGTGGATCACCTGTGCAATGTCATGCCTCTGCAGACTCTTCCTCCATCTTTCTGCGTGTACCTGAGTACAGGCTCCAGAATGCTGGAGGAAGCATCAGTGGAATACCAGTGCACTGATTACCACACTCATAGTCCATTATAACTACAAGTCCATCTGCGGTGGTGGAAGACGGGACTTGTAGTTTATTCATTCACAGATCTGTATATGGCAGTTAGCATTCCTGAGCAATTGATCTATCGATCGACTTCTCATGAACTGGCTTATTGGAAATCAATTGGCTGCAATACTGATCAATGTTTTCTGAAGAGACCCACTGTCAGAATACAAATGACACAGCGGGGAGAATTCCTGCATCTACATTGAATGTGTAGATGTAGAAATTTGTTCTTTTTTTTGTTCAGCCAGCTAGCTTCTCCACAATAGGAGGCACTTAAATTATGAAAAGTACAAAGCATATAAGCACAGATTTTCTGATACATTTCTCCTCCCTCTCTTAGCTTAAGTTGCTATACTGGCTATACCAGAAAGGAAGACTTATGACATATTATTGCTTTGATCTCTAAATGGTACTCTTACCTTTCTTGCAAAAATGGTCTTTCTGCCAGCCAGTCACATGATCAGCCCTTCAGGCTCTAGTGATGACTTTTTGCCCCATTTACACCTAAGTGATTTGTTGTATGTTTTCCGAAACATGACAATGCTGAACATGAAGATCACGATTAAAATCAATGGTGTCTGTTCATACCCGAGTGTTGTGTGAGTGAAAAAGTACTTGAGCCTTTATTGGGAAGAATGGTGTGTTTTTGGCTGTTTCTGGCTGTATAGATTTCAATCGGAGCACCTAAAAAAGTGTGACATGGGTGTTTTTTGCGCCTAAGAATTGGTCTCCCACTCCCAGCAACCTCAGGCCTTTGAACACAATGAAGGGTTCAGGAGTGTTCATGCTGGATGTGGAGACTTTTATCTGCCTGGTGAGGACCCACAAGAATGTCTACGACCCCAATGATGCCCATTACAAGACCATGGGCCTGGGAAGAAATTCGCAAAGCGGACATGGCTCAAGAGCTCCAAGAGCAAAGACACCACAACACCACACAACAAGAAAATCAGAAAGCAGATAGAAAGACGATAACATATGATGACACAGATGATACTGCTCTCCATTGGTCAAAGCAAAATTGCACAAAGTTTAAAACACAGAAAAGTGCCCCAAAAATGACTTCTAAATCACCTACAAATGTGCATGTTGAAGTGTGAATGGGGGCTATGTATCTGTCTCTGTCTCTTGGTGAGCTTTTCATTTTAGTCAAAGCTTCTCCCTATTATTATTTGTGAGACTTCACACATTAAAAGGAGTGTATTGTAATATCTTCAGTGAGGGCACTATTATTGTCGTTTTACATAAAAGTAATTATTGATGTGACTTTACATAATCCGTGCTCTCTCTTAGTCTATTTACTTTTAAGTAGAGATTTCTAAGGGCCTGGAACTTGTGGCATCCTCTGTCACCCCATGGTGGTTCCCGCATACTTTCTTATGGCTGAACTCTTCACTTCCCAAATTGTTTTTCCCCTCTCAGATCCCATTGTCTGGGCTTCCAAGGGGATCGTGTATCTCAACCAAATTTGTGAAGGTGGCAACTTGAAGTCATTTGACACCACAAAACAGCAATACGTCCTTCCTAACTCGTACTTATTCTGGTATCTCCAATTGCACCGAGCTCAATTCAGTATTTCCCTGGTATCTCTCCTCACATTGGAGTCTCTCATGAGAGATGACCTTTTATACATGAGAGTCTGAAAGGGTTACTTGCATGGTGGCAGGAGAAGGTTCTGGAGCTGGACAATGAGGATTGGGAGGATGTATGGCACTACCCTATGTGCCTCTACTAGAGATCACCTGATTCAGTTCAAAACTCTTAGCAGAATATATTTTACTCCTCAACGGTTACATAGAATATTTTCATTAATCCCTTTCAAATGCTGGAGATGCTGTATGGACCTGGCTACTTTTATGCACATTTTCTGGAATAGTCGTATGGTACAGGTATTTTGGGGAGAACTCACATGTTTTATTTTCACACTTACCACTATCTTGGGTCTGGTTCACCCCCTGGCCCCTTCTAGGGCACTCAGGACGCCACTAAGTTTACTTCTATATTATGCTAGAAAAGCTATCATTCTAAAGTAGAAGTCCTCTTTGACTCCCACTTTGGATTTCTGGAAATGCCTAGTAACGCAGCCATACCTTTTGATAAATTTACGTATAAATTTAGGGGCTGCTCCAAGACATTCTCCAACGTTTGTGACATTTGGCTTGATTTTCCCTCCACTAACGCCTGTATGGAAAATCCTTAGCGTTGTTAGGGTGATGTGTGGTTGATCTTGGAATCCTTTCTTGCAGATGTGGTCCCCTCAGTATGTTATACAGGAGCTGTTCCGGGTACACCTGGAGCGAGTTTTCTGAAGGAAGCTTGCTGCAGGGACACACAGGAAACAATTGTGTCTTATGTGTCCCATTCACACTGCAACGCAGTTTAGCGCTGCACTAAAATGCAGACATGCTGAATTTTATTGCAGCGCATTAGCCAGAATCGCACTGATGTCAGGCAGCGCAGCGCATCACGGAATCCAGGAAGCTGTGGAAAGAGATGGCCATCAGACAGGCAGCTCTCACAACATGAACAGAAATTCAAATAAGCTTATGTTAGATTGTCAATAGTGACCATTGTTTGTATTGCTATAACAATGCTGTTATAAAGTGAAAGTGTATGCTGTGACTTTATATGTTCTTTAACCTCCCTGGCGGTATTCCCGAGTGTAGCTCGGGGTAAAGTTTCAGCACCACAAGCGGTAACCCCGAGCTACACTCGGGCTTACCATGTGGCGCTGCTCCGGGATCTGTTCTTCACTTACCTTGTCCTTCCATCCCGCGATGTCCCTCCTGCAGTGTCCCCTGTAATGTCCTCCGACGGATGCTGGCATCTGTCATCTGGGTTCTGTCCCCTGCGACGTCGGGACGTACAGGGACGGAACTGGCGGGAAAAAGTGACATTCACTAAAATCACATAGTAAAATATTACTGTATCAAACCATTTCACATACATTTTGTCCCTAGTGCTTTGTCCTGTGCCCTGCCTACATTTTTACTGTTCTTTCTGCCTGGAAACTGAGAAACGTCCATGGCGTCCAAAAAGCGTCCCTTTAGGTCAAAAGCGGTTTTAGACCAGCTAGAGAACAGCGATAGTAAATTAGAACTACTTGCAGAATTGAGTGATAATGATTTGTGGGGGAAATTCGTCATCAGACACTGAAAACGATTTTGCGACTTTGCTCAGTGATGTGCGAACTTGGTGCTATATTTCAAATTTCAGTGTTTTTGGTTTGATTATATTATTGAATTAAATTTATTATTATATTATTATTTTTTATGATTATTTATTAAATTATAATTTATGATTTCGTGTTTCAAATTTTAACATACCCGGGATGTTTACTAGACTCTTGTTCGGGCAGATTTCAGTGAGTTATTCCTAAAAATTACAGGTCTACAATAAAAAAAATACATATTTCCATGCAAAAAAATGTACCGCTTTGAGCACAGAAATATGGACATAATCAGACCGCTAGGGAGGCTACAGTGTTACTAAACCCAGGCCCCTGCATTCACTATATCTGGTCTCCCACAGTAAACACAACATGGAAGTGCAATTATTTTATTAAATATAAACAGCTAAATACCTTTTCTCATCAGCAGTTAGCGCAGTCTTGTGACTTCTATCAGTGTCCAGCAGAGCACTGGTTAAAGATTGTAGGAGGAGTTTTCATTTTCCTCTGACTGTCCTATGAAGCTGCATAACCCCTGACCCTTTGTGTGGACAGCACTGATTGGCCCTGTGCTGATCACATGCACCCTTCCAAAGAGAAAAAAACTCTCTAGCCATACACATCAAACAGATTGTATGCACAGTGACTCCTAGAGCTCTGTACTACCAGCAAATGGATTGTGGACTGTGGAAAAAGGGGAGGATCAGAGAAGACAGGATCAAACAGCCTTTTTACACAATGCAGAGGATTAACCCCATAGGTTCTACAGTGAGTATAACAAGCATGCTTTACTGCATATACAGACTGATTTTACTGTTTTGGGTTTAGTAACTCTTTAAGCAAAGGCTGTACTAAATGTTAACTAAACAGGAGGGGGAAACAGGGGAGCATACCAAAACATCAGCATTGGCAACCAGTCACCATTTAGTTTATAAGGCTTGCTTACATAGAGTAGAATGAGAATTAATTGAGAATGAAGAATTATTTGAAAATGTATTTGTTAACATGTGTAAACGCATCCTTAAAGGTATTTTTGGAAGGCTTTAATAGTTGCAGTATTTCCAAGAAATCATTAGCAGTTCACTTGTAGCCTGGACTTGCTTTTTAAGGACTTGGCTAAAAACGTTTCTTTACCATAAATCGTAACGAGTGAATCTAAACTTAGCCTACAAAGTCTTTCTGTCCATCCTGAATTGACATGAAGCCTGCAGTTGTCACAGTACATCAGCAAGCAAGCAGAGGCAAAACACAGCTCTTTTCAGACACCTCTTTCCACATTTCTTGGCCTGGAGCCACATACTGAATCTCATTTTTTTTGAATTACGCAATCAATGGTGAGTGTTGAAATTTTTGGGTGTTGTAATAAGCTACCTTCTCTGTGTGCTGTTTTCTGACATCGGAGAACAGCACTGTGTAGCTGTCTGTAGATAAACATCAGTCCTTTTTCTCAGTTCCTCTCTGTTTTAGAAAAAAATGATTTAGGAAACATAGTTTAGTGGAACATTTGATTTTTATAAAGCATTATGCAGAATATAGCTTATAAAATAATTTTTTTTTTTTTTTTAAATGTTATATAACAGGATTGGATGAATTCCAGGAATTTGGTAGCCAGTGTGCCAAATAAAATTACAGCTAGTGCAGAGCTTTGCAAAGCAATTTCCATTGATGACAGTTAAAGCTCATCTCAAAACAGGAATGGTTGTCCAGAACTCGAGCTCTTCTGTTTATATGGAGCTCTGGGTCAATATACGCAGTTGTGTGTTCATTAAAATATAATTATAGTACATGTGAAACCAATTATTATAATCTCATATAATCTTCAGCATATTAAAGTGGAACTCCACTGTATCTGAGCAACACAAACCAAAAGCGCTATTTAATTCATTTAAAACATTCAAAGCAAACTTACCAATCCGTCCATGTCTCTATGTTTTATTTTGCTGAGAAATCACTTAGAAAAACGCCTCCTAGCATTTTTGGCCATGGCCATCTTGAGTAAGGGCAGATAATTCTTGTAGCATTTACTTTCTGGAATCCATTTGCCCTTAGCTCAGGCATGCAGGCAGGACGATGTGCTTAGCTGAGAAAACTCCTCCTGAAGACTCCTGGAATGTTTGACATCATTTGCCTAGGCATGGAAACCCGTAAGTAACTGAAGAAACGTAAAAACAGTTTTTAAAACAAGTAAATATTATCTACTTTCCTATCCATATACTAATGCTAGCAGTGTAAGGATTCAAAATATTCAATGTTCATTGAAAGAGTGAAGTTTTACATTAACTATATCTGGGAACCACAAACTAAAAATGCTGTCTTAATTCATTTTTAATATTCAAAGCAAACTCACCCATCCATCCATGTCTTCGTGCTTTATGTTGTTGAGAAATCACTTTGAAAAACACTAGCATTTCCAGGTATGGCCATCTTGAGTAAGGGCAGATTACTTCCTGGAATCCATCTGCCTTTATCTCAGGCATGCAGGCAGGAGGGAGTGATGGCTGAGAAAACCCCTCCTCCAGATGAAAGGCAAAAAAATGGCCATGAAGTCTCCTGGGATGTATGACATCATTTTGGCCTAGGCTAGAAGCCAGGAAGCAAATGTAAAAACGTGAAAAAAAAAATCTCATCATTAAAGTAGAACTAAAAGCAAAACTTTTTATTTTCATTTTGGATAGAGTAAGAGAGGATTATAACCCTTGTCAGTTTTTTTGTCATCTGTGTCCCATAGAGGGGATTTCCCTTTACTTCCTGTCCCATAGAGGGGATTTCCCTTTCCTGTCCCATAGCCAAAACAGGATATAAGAGGGAATCCCGCTAAAGTGAGGGGATCCCAGGGTGTCACTAGATCTAGTGTCCCCATTGGAAGATTTTCCCTCTATTACTCTTCTGGTGTAAACCCAACATTTTGGATTTTTTTTTACTTTCATTTTTGATGATAAATGTAAACAGGACAAATAGCAAGGGTGAATCTCTCTAACAGTGACACAGACAGCAATAAAAACCGACAGGTGTCCTAACCTCTGTCCACTCTACTCAGAACTAAAACAAAGTTTTGCTTTTAGTTACACTTTAAGGTTCGGTGCATAGATATATAGTGGGTATAGAAAAGAAGCACCGCCCTTAAAATATTCACATTTTTCTGGTTTGCAGCCAGAAATGAAGACAGACAGTTTTTGTTTTATCCCGCTGTATTTACTCAGTGCAACTTACAATATATTGACAAAAGTATTGGGACACCCCTCCAAATCATTGGATTCAGCTGTTCCAATCAACTCCATGGCCACAGGTGTATAAAACAAGCACCTAGGCATGCAGACTGCTTCTACAAACATTTGTGAAAGAATGGGTGGCTCTCAGGAGCTCAGTGAATTCAAGCATGGTACCATGATAGGTTGCCACCTGTGCAATAAGTCCATCCATGAAATTTCCTTGCTACTAAATATTCCACAGTCAACTGTTAGTGGTATTATAACAAAGTGGAAGCAACTGGGAACAACAGCAACTCAGCCACCAAGTGGTAAGCCACATAAAATGACAGAGTGGGGTCAGCGTATGCTGAAGCGCACAGTGCACAGAAGTCGCCAACTGTCTGCAGAGTCAATAGCTAAAGACCTTCAAACTTCATGTGGCCTTCAGATTAGCACAACAACAGTGCATAGAGAGCTTCGTGGAATGGATTTCCATGACTGAGCAGCTGCATCCAATGCAAAGTGTCAGATGCAGTGGTGTAAAGCACACCGCCACTGGACTCTAGAGCAGTGGAGATGTGCCCTCTGGAGTGACGAATCATGCTTCTGTCTGGCAATCCGACGGATGTGTCTGGATTTGGCGGTTGCCAGTAGAATGGTACTTGCAGACTGCATTGTGCCAAGTGTAAAGTTTGGTGGAGGGGGGATTATGGTGCGGGTTTGTTTTTCAGGGGTTGGACTTGGGCTTAACCCCTACGGACTAAGACTGGGATGCCATTAAAGTTCATGTGTGTGTAAAGGTAGGTATCACAACACTTTTGGCAATATAGTGTATAACATCAAAGTGAAAGATACAACACAAACTTGTCAGAAAAAAAAAAAAAAATCAATTCAAAAACAGAATTACTGAGTTGGAAAAAGGATCACCCCCTTATGCCAGTATTTTGCCTTAATTACCGCCTTTAGCCTGTCTTTGCTGACTTTGCACATCCAGACTTTGCAATATCTGCTCACTCTTCTTTGCAGAACTGCTCAAGCTAAATTTGATGGTGACTGTGGACTGCAGTACAACAGCAGCACCTCCACGCTTTACTGTAGGAATGGTGTTATTTGGATGGTCAGCTGGATTGGATTTCCACCAGACATATTGTTTATTGTTGAGGAATTCAATTTTAGACTCGTCTGACCAGAACACCTTTTTCCATGTGGACTCAGAATCTTCAAGGTGTGTTTTGGCAAAGCTCAGTCGTGACTGCATGTGGCCTTTCTTAAAGTGAAGTTCCAGCTGAAAAAAAAAAAAAAAGTTAGCAGCTACAAAATTGTAGCTGCTGACTTTTAAAATACAGCCACTTACCTGTCCCTCGGTCCAGCGGTGTCCTCACCACGGCTGGTTTCATCGGCCGTCCTCTCTCCCTGGCACCGGCATCTTTAGTGGGGACACCCTGCTGTGACAGCTTGCGGCTTCACAGCCAGTTGCCCACTGCGCATGCTCGAGAAATGCTGTGCTTTGTGAATGGCCCCGTAGTCTTTTGGGACCTATCACGTGTCCCAGAAGACTACAGAGAAGGAGAGGGGAGGACAACTTCCGCTTCCAATCGCCTAGGCGATTGCAGCGGAAGTGGGAGCGGGTTCCTGTCAAATTCGG